TCAAACAGAAGAAATCCATTTTTAACAGATCACAATGCCTTCCTCCTGTGAGCTGCTCAGCGGTGCTGGGGGCACTGTCCTGTCTCCCCCCCGACCCCACCTCCTGCACGATGAGGGTCTTCTGCCTCCCCCTACTTCCTGCTGTGGTGAGGCGCTGGGAAGCTTTCTGAGGGTGATTTCTGGGCCTCTGATGATCAGACTGGGACCTGGTATGTTGAATGCAGAGGGCCCAGGAATAATTGTGTAGAGAAAAGCACTGAGTGGAAGGTCAGGGGCTCTGGGAGAACCCACAAACACCCCCCCGCCAGTGCTGGAGTTCCTTGTTTATTCAGCCCGCCTTGATCTCGTGCCTACTGTTTGCTAAGCCCTGGGTCTCTGTGGGTGAGGAGAGCAGGCCCCTCCCTGAGCAGCTCACTGGCTGGCGTGGTTCAGTTCTGCCTCAGGGATGGAGGTGGTCAGTGGGAGAAAGACACAGGTAACAAAGCGACGTCATATGTGTGGGTGTCTCGTGACTGTAGTAAGAAGTTATTTTCGTGGTTGGCGATTTTGTTTGTTTGTGGTTTTGGTCATCATACCTGTCTGAAGGGATCTGAAGTAATTATGACCTCAGCTTGCCTGTCACCTGTACACCTGTGAACACATAACCGTGCCTTCCAGTGGCCCATCAGACAGCCAGGAAGGGAGTTCCTTACATGGAGGGCCAGAGCCACACAGTTAAGTGGCCTTTTTGTGAGGAGAGTGATGGTGGGCCCAGATAGCCAGGGTCTCTTCTTGCTCTCAGAGCCTGTGCTTTGCTCCCAGAGATTTTTAATGTTCCCTGGGGGTCCCAGCGTGCAGCCAGGGTGGAGAGCATTGACCCAGCCTGACTTTCTTGTTTGACACTAATGCTGAGGCCAGCGGGTCACCTTCCCAATCCCATGTTGGTTCTCACTCTCAGGCCAGAGCTGTCCCCTGTGGTGCCCACTGCCTGACGTTGAATTTTGGGCCAAGCTGCTGCCCCAGGGTCACCCCATAAAGGGGTTGTTCTGGATCAGGTGGTCCAGCTGGACCCCAGGGGCACTCTTTGACTTGCACTGCAAGGAATTGTTAGCCCAAATGACAATTTGGTAGGTATATCCAGACAGGCAGTCATCCTAGGCAGAGTCCAGCATTCAAAAGATAATACTCTGAAATGGGTCTAGGGGCTTTAGGGAGGCAGACTTAGATGTGAGCATTGAAGGTCAACCACATCAGCCTCAAAAGTGGCCAGTGTGGAAAGGCCCAGATTGTAATTGTCAGACAAGATGGGGGCCCTGCTGCTGAGGACTCACTCTGAGGACCAGTCATAGGCTCTTCCATTTGGTGATGTCAACGCATCGTGCTTGGGCTCTTACCGAACGTCTGCTTGGTTAATAAGGGGGATGCTATTTGGGTCCAAGGCTAAGTATTCCTCATCAATCATGAAGACATGCAAAGGCCCCTGCTTGTTACCTGTGCCCGAAGGTAAGAAGTGTAGACAGTAATGGACTTGGTTTGTGGGGCAGATTGCAGGGTGAAAAGGGCCTGGTGGAGGTTGGCCACCTGCCCTTAACCTTCCCATTCATTGTGGGCTTTCTGAGGACAGAAGGCAAGGGGAGAGGTTATTACATAGCTTGGAAGGATCTCGAAAGGTAGCAGAAGCAGAGATGAGCTATCACCACAGGGCACGCCCTCGTGGCAGGAAAGACAGGCATTGCATCTTTGTTTACCTGGTACCTTGTGACGCTTTCTCTCCAATGATCCGTGGTAGTTTTTCCCCAGCTCTGTGTGTGCGTCTCAAAGGATATATTGCTTGGTTCCGTTCATGAAGAGGGGACGCACATCTGCTGAATTTAAAGGAACAGGTGGGCAATTGGTTTTTGGATTTCTTTTCCCTTTAAGGACTCCAGACCTTAAGTACCTCTTTGTGTGTGAGAGAGAATCTATACTGTTCAACTCATGAAGAGGCTATCAAATGCTCTGGCTTAAAAAAAAAACAAGTCCTTATAAAGGATAGAAAGATGTATTCTACTTTGATTATCTTCCGAATGGCACCTGCCTTTTCCAGCGTAGAAATTGCTGGCTGTGACTTTTAAGTGGGGGAATTGTCAGACTGTGTGCTTTTGTAAATGGACAAGTTTTCTAGGGTGACCCACCCCTGGTCTGAATGCTGGACGGGAGCCCATGGGGCCCCAGCCTGCCAGGCGGGGCCTCGTGTGTCCTCCACAGGTTCACTTGGCATTTTCAGCTGGAAGGCTGGCATGCTGTCTTTGGGGTGGGAGTGGGGGAGGCAGTCCCAAATCCCAGAGTAGCTCGAGGGATTGTTACTGGAATTCCCTGCTGGTTGTCCCACGGATTCCCCCTTGAACATGAGCTCCTTGAGGACAGGGGTCAGGCCGGGGTCAGCTTTGTGTTCCCAGCAGGCCAGGCTCGCAGTTGTGATCAGGTAGGTGAGCTTGGCCTTTGCTGGGAGCTTTGGTTGCATCTTTGCTGCCTGAGGAGCCAGCCACAGAGCTTCCCGGTGGACCTCTGTTAGGATAACTGAAGGAAGGGACAGCTTGAAGTGCACGGTTGCCTCAGCCTCCCTGGTTACTGATGGAGCCAAACGTCAAATGTCTGTTTACTGGTCACTTGAAAATGCTGTTCTATAAAGGAAGGCTCAAAGTTTGACAGAACTTGTTGGGATTTTCAGGATCTGAAACCCATGAGTTTATCTCTGCCTGTGTTACCTCTAATGACAATTTAGATGTACATACACAAATTAATATTTCACTTTTGATTAAAAAACTCAGAACATTATCCAGAGATCAACAGAGTAGATATTTTAATCACTACCTTCTGGCTGTGGAGGAGATGTTGGTATTAAGTGCGAACTGTGCACAGAGGCATGGGGGCACTAATTTTATAGGTGGCCAGTGCCTCAGCAAATGTGCCCAGGTTAGTTATGCTTAGAAGGGGGTGTAGGGGTGGAAGGAGCACGTGTCACAGGTTGGCTCAGGCATAGATTTGGAGTGACCTTGCCACTGGCTGGGGTTGGAGGAGTGGCCGGCACCAGGACAGCCAAGTTGATCCCAGTCACTTGAGCAGGGTGGGTTTTGGGGGTGTGGGTCAGATCAGGGTGCAGCCACAGTGGAAGAAACTGGAGTGACTGTCAAAAGCCCAGGAGCTACATCTCTCCATTTCTTAGTTACTCTCATTTTCCTATTTCATAGATGAGGAAACTGAGGCTTAGGGATTGAGGAGTTTTTTAAGGCCCCAAAGCCCCCAGACCCCAGGACTGAAATCTGAGTCTGTCTGACCCAGCACACATGCTTCTCTGTGGGATCACACCGCCTCTTGAATGGGGAGCCTGGCGGCACCTATCCCTGAGAGCTATCGTGGGTGGGAGTGTGACTAAATGGGCATCTGCCCCGTCCTAGCCTGGGACTGTGTACCAGCCAGACCTGGCACTGGAGGGGCTGCACCTCAACCGATGGCCTGGATGTTCCTTCAAAGCCACAGCCACAGCCACAGGGTGCTGTCACAGGGGTCCTGTGAGCTGAGTCCCCAGAGTTACAGGGCTGCACAAGGTCTAGTTACTAATGAATTGGCCACCTAGCAAATCCCCACCTGTGAAATCAGTTCCCCAGCTGCTCGGCTAAGACCAGTATCTCCCCATAGCCACTGCCTCCGGTCCAGCTGACAATTGGAAATCTGGCAATACTACGGAAATGGACATTCAGTCTAAGTTAATTACAGAGTGAAACTGCAGATCTTGCAAAAGGTCCAGTATGTCATGAGGACACTGAAGGTGATATTGGAGAACTCTTGGTCCTCACATGTGGACAAACGAGGGTCTCTGAGAATTAGACCCGTTTTCCATTGGAGAGGAAGGAAGGGAGGTGTGTGCTGAGTATTTTAGAAAGGATTTGAGTATCAAAAGATGAAGACAGGCTCTGAGAAGATCCTTGAAGCCCTCTAATGGTTTGCAAAAAAAAGACCTTTCTGAGTGTCTTATTCAAAGTAAAACATGAAGCCAAAGGTATCGGTGTAATTGGTCAGAAAAAGTACACACAGAACAAAGCAAAAAATATTTGTTTCATTTTTTGTTCTCTAAAACAAATTAGAACATGGTTATAATTGCTTGTTCTTAACCTAAATGTTGTCAGATGAATACAAAATTAACTTATCCTTCCAATTTTAGTTCCATTTTTTTCCAAGGTAAAGACCCAATCAGATTTTTTTCTGCCCACCCCCTGTCCCCACCAAATCATTTCCATCAAGGGATGGTCTTTTTTCAAATTAATTTACTGTGAAATTACCAAACACCACCCGACCTTACTAGATATTCTCAATTAACTGGGACCCATTCTTATTTCAGTCTGGCAAAACAAACTAGACTGCAGAGGGTTTAGCAGGTGGTTTGCAGCTGGAAAGAGTTCATGTTCTGCCACGTGCCCTGATGTATCTTCTCACTGGCTCACTGGTCGCTGAGAAACTCTCCCAGGGGAATAACGTCTTCCTTGTTTCTAGTTGTTTTTGAAATCATGGCCATCCAGAGACCATAAGTCTTTTTTTATTGCCTCCTAAGGGCTTTGAGATTTTATTTAATACAGTTTTAAAATGTAATATTTACCAGCTAACCTGCTTCAGACCACTGATATTGAATTCTTAATGGTATTATCTAATGCTTTAGAAAAAGTGCGCGTGGTACCCGAGTTAAATACAGTAAGAAGCAACTTGTCTTGTTCTGTCTTTTGGCAGCATGAAAAGAATCCGCCAGTTCCCTAATCACCACAGAGCAGCCCTAGGACCAGGGAGAAAGCTCAGGATTCAGCCGACCAATATGTGCTTGGCATTCAGGATACAGGCTGGGAATACGGCAGCCTCTTAAAGACATGTTTTGACCAATTTTTGTTTTTAACAGACCTTTTTTTTTTTTAGAATAGTTTTAGATTTACAGAAATGCTCAATGCATTTCAAAATGCAGTTTTAACTTCTAGACTTTTTCCTTCTCTCTGCAGACGTCGCCTCATCTCCCAGAGATCATCCTTGGAGACCCTAGAAGATATTGAGGAGAACGCCCCTCTACGGAGGTGAGTTTTGGGGTTGCATTTATGTTATGTGAATGGTCTGCAATACAAGATGGCCAAAGTTTGGGTTTTTTTTTTTAAGTTCTTGATCTACAGAATTGAATTTTAAAAGTTACAATCTGATCCCCAGACTTGTTTGGAAACCAAACACTTTGGAACATTGGAACTATGAAATCCCAATTATGTAACAGAGTAGTGCAGTTTGCATGCAAATTCGGGTGCTATTTCCCGTTCATTTTGAAAATTGCTGTTGATGAAGGAGAGCGCGTCGCAGCCCCAGCTTTCCCAGAAGCAGTGATGCAGTTGTCACAGTCCCTGACTTCATTAGCAGGTGCCTGCAGTGTTCCTCTGCAGCCAGGTGTTGGTTGGGGAACTTGATTAGGATCACTATCAGTGCTGCCTCGGGGCTGAAAGCATCCATTTCTCCCTCTGGATTAGAAAAGTGCTTTCAAGGCATCATTTTTTGGGTGACAGCAGTTGCTGAGCTGTGCCGAGCCTCTGACTGGCAGCTCTCCTTCCTGTAGTGCTGCATCTCCCCACCGGCCCCTCTGCACCGCGGTCCACCCGGCCCTCCTTGAGTGCGGGAGGCACACGCCACGCCTCCTGCAGCTGGGCTGGCAGGGTGGGGAGCTCTTCCCTGCAGGAGGAGCTGAGGCGAGGTGGGACCCTGTGGGGTGTGATCGGAAGCTGTGGCTCCACAGGGGCTGCATGGCAGGCTGCAGAGGGGGAGGCCACTTATGCCAGCCCCCCTGGAACCCACATCTGCACCCCTCGTGCTTTGGCCGCTGGCCAGGACCCCAGAGTCCCTGGCTCCTCCTCCCTTTCAGCCTGGTAGGGAGCTGATGTGGAGGGAGACATCTCGCCTTGGAGCTGGCTTCTTCCCTGCCCGGAGCTTCACTCCCAGGCTACAGGTCATGTCCACACACTGTCTGGACAAAGGGTGGAGCACAGAGAGGGCTGGGATGTGATCAGGAGCATCAGTGACTATGACTCTCATCACTGACATCTTTCCTAGGAGAAAGTCAAGGCCAGACAGTCCAATTTCCACTTTTAAAGTGTTTTAGAAAACATACATAACCTCTGGGACCATCTTAGGCTGAGTGGCATGTGGCTGTGTGCCACATGGCCCTGTGCAAGTGGCCCAAAGTAGTCAGCGAGAGTGAGGGGGAAATGTCAGTGGCTTTGGCATTGGAGCACAATCAGTGCCAATCAGTGAACAGAACTGCAAAGGCCCTGGGGTTTGGAGAGGCTTCAAGGAGCCACAGTCAAGGAAACTAGGTTAAAAAAAGTCACAGGCTATGAACTGCTCCCTCCTCAGGGATTCAGGCGGGGCGGGGGGCCGGAGAGGGGACTGTTCGCTGTGCTCCTGGCCCATCAGCCCTGTGTCCGCCTCTCACATCCGCCTTGGCTGGTCCTCTGCCCTCCAGCCCCCCGTCCTGTGACAGCACAAACGAGCAGAGCAAAAACGGCTTATCTGTACTCACTGTAACTTCCTCCAACTTGCTCACAGAATACTGTTCTTAATTTCCAACAAATCTTGTGTAAACATGAAGTTTAAAAAATAAGTCAGAAATCAAGGGAGTGGAGCAGGTTACGAAGTCTTTATTTTCTTTAATGGACCTTTTTGATTTAAAAAATTGTAATATTTACTTAAAGACTTACTTGTTCCTAAGGAATAAAAATAGCAGAAGGGATGTTAGTTTGGGAGACAGGGGACTTGAATTCTTGGCCCAATTCTTCTCCTAACTGGTTACATGGCTTTAGAAATTCACTTACCTACTCTGGGGCCTTGGTTTTCCCATCTGTAAAATGGGAGGGGCAGATCAGCTGTTCTCTGAGGTCCTTTCCAGATTCTGTATGTACCAGTAATGAATGTACCAGTAATGACGCTGAAATGTTTTGGGAAATGTGGAGGCGGAAGGCTATTAGCCCAACTTGCTTCTAAGCTCAGCATACAGAAGAACAAACTGCTCCAAGGCATCTATTAAAAACCTTTTGCATAATTAAATGTATCCTGTAATCAGTGCTAACAAGAAAGAGCTAAACTTTCATTAAATTAGTTATTAATTTAATTCTATCCTAATTTAATTTTGCACCACTTAAAATGTATGGTTTTGAATGAGTACTTACACGTTAATGCAGGCAGCTTTGAAATTAATTCCTGCTTTGCTTAACCTGCCACAACCTGAGTGCTTAGTCTTACAGTTTCCTTGGCAATTGTTGCTAACACCACAATTCTCTTAAAGCCTTTCTTAGATTTGGGGGGTGGGGGGTAGCTGAATGCTTAAAAAAAAGCACAAGGCAACAAACAGCTCACTGATGGAAGGACTATGTCAGTAGCATATGCAGTTAGAATTGGGTGCTGATATCAAAATAAAGCACCTCTGTTAAGTTATCCTGTTAAAAGTCTTGCTTTTCACCTCACAGTTAATAAGTTAGTTTCTGTATCCACCTTGAACTCCAAGAACTGGGCGTTTGCAGTGAGAGGGTTTAGGCTGAGGAGTTTTCCACTTTGCCTGGGGTTACCTGGTATCCTAGAAGTAAGGACCTAGGCCATCTCTGCTAGGTGTCCAGAAGAACCTCAGTTCAGCTGCGGCAGGTGTGGCAGTCATCACCACCTGCCCGTTTCCAGCCTGTCTGGGGTGATGGGTACAGGCTGCTGCACCATAGTGATTACTGGTGCTGACAGTCACCTGGGCCCCTTTTGCCGACTTCTGGCTCCAGCAGGATGGGGAATTTTGTGCCCAAACCTGAGGGCAACAGCACCTGTTTCTGCAGGAATGGGACGCAGGGAGCAGCTCGGGGTCATCCTTCCTCTGAGCTGGGACCTGTACCAGCATCCAGCCGCTGGGGAGGTAGGAAGTTACCTTCACAGTCTAGCTCTTGGCCCCCTGCCCTCAGACTGGTGGGTCCAGGAAGGTCTGCATTTGCAGGGGAAACGGGGCGAGAGTGTGAGGATGCTCCTAAACACTTGGTCCTGCCCAGAAACCAGTGGAAGCACACCCTTATCTTTCAGAGATTCTCTTCTTTCCAGTGATTACATGTTTCTAGAACCTTCTGTTGTGTGTGAGACAGTTGGGGACCTTGGGCGGCTGCAGACTCTTAACAGTCATTCTGGAGGTAGAACTGAGCAGTTTGGGGTGCCGGGTCTGCCTCCAAAGAGCTGCCCCAAGAAGGCGGAGTGAGGCCCTATCCCCTTGGACCCCAAGGAGGCTAAATCTGGGTTTGGAAGCTTGGAGTGGGGAGGAAGATTGGTGGGTGCCATTCTCTATTCAAACCCCTCCTGAGATCCGCAGGAAGCATCTGTGAAATGCCCTCAGGTGGGGCTCTGCACATCTTTGAAAGAATCTATTTAAAACTGGAAATTCAGGGCCCTTAATAAGGGCTGCAATTTTAAAAATATAGGAGACAAAGTATGCGCCCTTTGTAGTTAAAGGTCTTAATAATAATCACAACACTTGAACAGTGCGTATGAACATTCACATGTATGTACGTATGTGTGAACATGAATATTTGTATTTGAACATGTCACTTGACCGTATATGAAGCTCTTGTGAAAACCGTCACGTTGAAGTCTCACAGCAGCCCCAGGGAGGGATCTGAATACACCCCTCGTGACGGGTCAGGGTCGGTAGTGAGTTTGGGGTGGAAGCTGGGAAGGCCAGGTGGGCTGTGAAAGTGTGCTGTGGACCCTGCTCGGGTGGCGTGGACGCGACTGGGCCTTCCTTCCTTGAGACCCAAGGCCCGGGGAAGCCTAAGTTCTCAGGCACCCACGTCCGCTGGCAGGAGCCAGACCTCGGGGTCTGTGGTCAGAAAGATTTAAGTAACTGAAAAATTTTGGTAGTAGAAACCCAACTAGAAAAGTCATTGCTCCCTTTCTCGAGGCAAGACCAGATTTCAGATTCTCGTTTGTTGGGTTTTTTGCTTTTTTCCTAGTTGTTGTTACTGTCGTGTATCTTAGAATTTGCCGGGTGACTTTGAAAAAATACATACACGAATAAGATCTTTTCGGCCTCAATTCTGTCATCCCTGTAGTACAAGCACATGTCATATAGCCTAGGAAAAATTAATTGGAACCCAAGTCATTTTGTTCAACAAATATTTATTTAAAATTTATCTTTAAAGAAAGAAAACAGCCACTAATTGGGTCTCAGATTCTCTTTCAAAGTAAAGCTGCGACTTCCAGGCATAGCCAAGTTGAGAATTGAGGAAACTGTCCAGGTTGTTCGGACCAGAGTCCAGCTATGGGGGGAAAAAAAAGAGATTCAGGGTTGTTTTTAAACTGAATTTTCCCGTGTTTTTCCCACCTCTAAATTCGTTGCATTTACAGTTTTCTGTACCCGTTACCTTTGCTGATACAGGAGAATTCTTTTTAAGATGACAAAAACAACTAATGTCTTGGAATCTGTGTAGGTTATGTTACTGTAACTGAGGACAATAGTTCTCATTAGCTGGCTCTTCAGAGGCCCATATAAATTATTATCGATATTATCAAGGAAGTTGTCTGTCATTGGGTTTTTTTTTTAAACTTCCTTGCTTCCAGCCATATCGTCCTCATTATCCTTGGGGTGACTCAAACCATTTGTCTGGTCTTTCTTTCCTGTCTTTGTGTGGAGATGTCTCAGCTGCCTGCCAGGCAACTTGACTGTTTTTGAAATGACTTTATTTTTCAGATGTCGAACACTCTCAGGTTCGCCCAGACCAAAGAACTTTAAGAAGATTCATTTTATCAAGAACATGCGGCAACATGATACGAGGAATGGCAGGTACCACTCTAACAAAAGCTGCCCCAGCCTCCCTGCTGTAGGAGCGGGTGGGCCCAGTGGGATGGGCGGAGGGGGCCGTCTGAACGGCCAGACCTCACCAAGGAAGATGAGCAGGGTCTCATGAGACCTTCCCCAAGACGAATCTTCCCACCCGACTCCCGCCAGAATCCTCCAAAGAAGTCTGCAGAAAATAGTGCGGCCAAAGGCTGGGTGAGATTTTTAGACTGACTAAAACTGAATTTTTAATAGTACTGAAATATATTTTTATTAAGAAACTTTGAACAGAAGAACAGTTGAGTTTTGGGGGGGATTTTTTTTTTCTTTTTGGTTGTTTCTTTCTGTCTTCTTCTGCTTTGTTGGGTTTTGTTTTCTTTCTTCGCCAGGGCTGTGCGCTCCGGTCAGTAAATGACCCGCCAGCTCTGTGCCTGAAGTCGGGTTTGGCTCCCTCTTCGATGATACTCGTTTAGAAAGGAGAGTCACCACTTTGCCAGCAGATTCTTCCTGGGTCCCCATTCAGGTTCCTGGCCCTGCTGACGTCTGGAGCACATGCTCCTCCAGGAAAGAGCTGCTCATTTGGAAAATGCTGTTCAATGAAAAAGACCATGGTTGAAATGTACGTGACCTTGGTATTAAAACTCTCCCGGCAACAAGTAGATGTGAATCTTAATCGCCAGTATTTCTTATGACTGGAAGGCTAAGACCATTCATGGAAGCTGGGAACAGAACTCCAAGACCGCCTGGGGTCCCCTGATGCTCTGTACCCCTGGGGGCAGCTCCTCCTCGCTGACCTGTGACCTGGATGGTAGTTTCCCTTGAATAAGAGGGTTAGAGACGCCATCCCAGAGCCGAGGTCCCGCCACAAAGAACATTTTGTTTGATCTCCTGATTTACAGAAGATCATATGGGTCCCATAATACTCTCTAATCTGTACCGAATGAAAATGGCTAGAAAAGTGAGACTTGTGGAATGATTAAGGCCCAGCACTACTGTAATTTGGTGTAAGATACACTGTGCAGCCTGAATAACCAATACTAACAATTACAGTGTTTAAAGACTTGTTTTCCTTAGAGTTTATACTTAACTTTTTAAACCTCACTTGAATAGAGACCATAATTTTACAGCTACTCAGTGATTTCAGAATGGCAAAATCGAGCTCACTCATCAAGTAATTTTTACGTAGTCAGTATGTGTTCCTATCTTAAGTACAGAGCTTTTAGTTAAAATGCACCCAACTGTCATCTGTGAAATAGAATATTCTGAGTTTCTCTCTCTCACGCTGACTTTCACTGTCACATTTATTGTGCCTTTTCACTTAACCACACTGTTTTCCTTTTGTGGCTCTTACTGAATCCAAACCTTATTTATGCCATTTTTTAGAACAATTATTCATCATTTATTTATACTGATGTTTTGTCTATAGTCTCTTGAACCATAAAGTAAACATAAAAAGCCTTAAATTCCTAAATAAAATCAATGACAAAGCCAAAAAGTGGGCCACACTAATAGTATTCTCCACTTCTCAATGCTGTCGCGGATACAAAGTCAGATAATTACCTGGCGTGGTTCATAGTAAGAGGAAGTAGTTAATAAAAGATTTGGACTAATGAGGTTGCCAGTGTATATTACGAAGCTGCCTCCCCCAGCACATCCTTGGCCCAGAAACAACGTAGACAGTCCAGAAAGCACACAGTTGCTGGTAGTTTTGCTGGGGAATTTTCAGAGGGAATCAGGAGCGACTGTTAGCTTGTCTGAAGATCTGAGGGCTGGAGTTTAGGGCAGGAAGCCCCCAGCACAGGCTGTAGGCTGCGGTGGCGGCGGCTGGTTGTGCCTGCCCAGGTGAGGGCTGCTTTTTCTGTGCCGGAGAAGATGAAAGGGCTGGAGGTGGTCTCCTTCCTCCCTCTGGTTGATTTATTAGCAGGGATGGACTGTTCTTAGACAGATGAAAGAAAGAACTCAGGAGGGCGCCAGGAAGAAACTGTGATTTCTGAAGTGACAGAAGGAAATTGTGGTCAAGAGCTGATGAGTGGGAGGAGGGGTCCCAGCCTTTCCAGGAGGGGAGGAGACTCCCCCACTGCAGCTGGGCAGCAGGTGTGAGATCGTCCTGTTGGAGGTGGCCAGGGGCAGGTGGGTGGGATGCAGTGCAGGGTGATGGGCAGGAGGGAGCCTGGGTGCGCGCTCAGAAGGGAGGGGCTGGGACTGGTGTGGTGGTGGAGGAGTGGGGGACTCTGATTCCCCCTCCTCAGGTGCGTGGCGCCTGTACACAGCACCACACCAGAGGGGGCATTCCTGCAGCCAGTGCTGGAGCCACTCAACTCATGTTTGCCTGCCTGAGCTGGGAGGAGCAAGGCTTCACAGAGAAGCCTGGAGGTGTTCATTAGAGAGCTGCAAGGTCCATCTGGATTGAGCACATAGCGGCCTGAGTACTGGCGTGTCTGCCTCCTCCTGCAGCCGGGACGAGAGACTGAAAGGGAGCCTGCTCAGAGCCGGAGGCCCACAGCTGGCATCCTCCCAGATGGGCAGGCTGGTCCCTGCTCCAGCCCCGACTTGTGCCCCTATCCAGAGCCTCCTTGTGACCTCTGACCAGCACTGAGCAGCTCCTTTCTGGAAGGAGGCAAGCGCATCCAGGCAGATGGCACCTAATAAAGCAGCTCCTCAGCGATGAAGGATGCGGTGACGCCTGGGTCCAGTCCTTTCAGCACCGAGGTGCTGACACCTGCTCTGTGCTGGCACTGTTTTAAGTGATGGGGTGCATCTGTGAGTGAAGCAGACAGTGAGCCTGCTTCAAGGAGTTATAGTCTCGTTGGCGACAGACAGTAGACGAGTGACTGAATCCCATCAGAGGTGGGATGGACGTGCCGGGGAGGGGAACTGAAGCAGCTCAGGGGTGCGGGATTGGGGCATGTGGGGCGCCACTGATGGGGAGACCTCTGAGCAGACCTGTGAAGGAGGTGAGGGAGCCAGCCCCGTGCGGGACCAGCGGGGAAGAGCATTCGGGATGGGTGGAACAGCAGTTGCAGAGGGGCTGAGGCCAGAACACAGGGGGTGTGCCCGAGGAACTATGGGTGGAATAGACAGAGGGAGAGAGGAGGACGAGACTTGCCCTGGGAAGTCCTGGGGGGGATTGGAAGTCGTCTGCTTGCTCTGTGAGTGAGATGGGAGCCGTGGAGGGGGCTGAGTAGAGGACTGATGTGATCTGGCTTGCATTTGAACAGGAGCACTTTGGCCAACCAAAAATCCAGGGCAAGCATCGCAGGTCTTCTTTGGTAAACTTATTCTTATAGAAAATTAAAGAGTGTGAGAGTATTGTATATTGTCTTCTAAGAGTGAATTTATTTTGATATGAAGTTCAAAAATGACTTGAGGTTTTTAAAAGACTGTTCACACAAGTATGAGTAAACCCTTTGTCACGACGGACAGGGGTCCAAGGCCCTGGGCCACAGAGTCTGGAATGGGCCTGTGACCATCCTGAGGACCGTGGCTGGGGACTGGGAGCTGCTGCTTAGTTAGTAGAGAGGATCCAGTCACCGTTCACTCCAATCTGTGTCTTCACTGACTGCGGGGTGAGGACGTTGACCAGACTTGAAGACAGATTTTGGTCCTTGGGGAGGAGACGCCCTTGAAAATGACAAACATCAGGAGGCCAGCTGGTGCCAACGGAGAGCTGATTCCTGGCCAGGTGGAACTAGATCAGAGTGGAAGGCGGAGATTCTGAGCGTGGAGACTGACGATTAGCCAGGGGCTGTAAGGACATTTATGTCCAGTGACCCTCATGGTCCTGTTATGAAAGAACATCTCCTCTTGGTGCTTTCAATTCTCCGGAGACTCAAAAACATTTGTCTTTGAGAGCGATGGGAGACCAGAGCCCTGGTTTCCAGTGGGCGTCTCCCTCTCACAGGCATTATTTTGCTTCCTTTTGAAGTCATCTGGTTTTCGAATGTCTGCCTTGTACACAAGCGATGGCCACCACGTGCACCGGAAGTGGCCGCCTCCTGGGTCAGCTGTGAGAACTGTTTCATTCTGAGCAGGCAGAGAAGTGCTCTTGGCAGTGACTGGACTGGGCTGTCTCGTCCCTTGAAAGGAATTTTCAAAGAGACTTAAAAGGATTTGAGATGGGAGTGGACAGAGAAGTGAGCTAGCGTTGTCCCTTTAAAGTCTGAACTCATTTGGAAAAACAAAAGTATGAAAGATTCCGACACCTTTTATCTGGTCAAAAAGGTGCAGCGACTGCAGTCGAGGTGTAGCTTTTCGTTTTCATACTGAACATTTTGGAGGGAACTAGGGGAATGGGTAACAACTGAAGTAAGACCTCGTTTGGCATCTCATCAGTTCCCATCTGACAGCTTAGTTTAGTTTGAAGAATGAGTCAGAGGAAGTGGCACGTTTCAAAAAAACAAAGCAACAAGTTACCAGCTCCAGACAGGCCATCTAGAAAAGACAAAAACATTATCGCCTTTTCTCCCTGAAACAAATCTGTCCCTTCCAACAGATGTTGGGCATCTTTTGTGAGGCTCCGTGCAACATCTGCCTTTTCCCAAGCAGGCTTTCCCCTCCCAGAACTTTAGTTCTTTATTAAAAGCCTAGACTCCTCCATCCCCCAAGCAGCAAGAGGCTGGCAGGGAAGCATCTTTATCTGTATCTTCATTGTCTACAACCCATTGTCAGTGAAACCTCAGTCCTGAAGGACAGCGAACGGATAGAGTTGGAGGAGCCTTTAATCACCCCAAACCTCACTGAGACTCCTGAGCCCAGCCTCTTGTGCACCAAAGTGTCCCCCAGCGCTGCTTTCAAGCATGACTGACCCGTTGATTTTCCTCCACTTCTTCCCTGGTGCAGTGACCGTGGGAGGGAGGGAGGAGCTGGGGCTGGCGCTGGTCAGCACCACATGCAGGGATTATGACGGTTTTCTTATCCATGCCTCGTTAAGAAGCATGGAGGGGATGCTGGCTTTTCCTGTGACTCTGCACGAGGCTTTTGAGAGAAACTCTTTTGAGAGCAGCCGT